GTTGGAAATGATTTATAAATTTTTCATAAAAAAATGGCCTATAAATAGAAGCAGAGGAGTATATATTAATTTTTGTTCAAAATTATACGACTTTTATTTGGCTGACTTCAGGACTTAAAGGCTCAAAAATGACGTTACTACTTAAAAATGCTTTTGAGAAAAATACTATTAAATACTCTTCTGACCCTATTTATAAATCACTTTGAACATATTTATATAAATTAAAATTTTTTGAATTTTATTAACCCTAATTGAACAACTTTTTAATTTTATTTTCATTTAATATACAATATATCTCATTACAACAAAATTAACATAATATTAAATGGAGGGTAAATGAAAATTTTCTTTTTCTATCTTATAAATAGGACCACAGGAGTATTTTATACATATATTGATATCAAAATATATACTTACACATAAAAAATGTATATTTACATAAATATCATTGGTTAATTTGATTTATATAATTTATTATTTATAATGAAAAATATTGATACACACACTAATGGGGTTTGCGTGTTGGGTATATCTAATTAGGTTACTTCCATGCATTTTCCCCTACATTTAACAAGGCGTAAAGAATGAAAACTTCAAACTTTTCAATATTATGATTTATCATTTATATATGATTTCAATAATATAAATTCACATTTCATTAACTAGAGTATCAAATTAAATAAGTCTCGTGCCCACAAAATTCCGATAGTAGGGCGGCTGAGCAAGCATGAGTTGCTTACTTTATTCATTGGGGAAGCTTCGTGGTAATTTCCGATGACATGACATAACGAGAATTTTATTCATTAATTAGTTTGAATTATTGCAATCTAAAATTATATTATACTCGCTATCTCCCTCCCTCCCTGTATAAATAAATATACTCCTCTCACCCTAATAGAAGATACTTTTTGATTCTATTTATAAGGTACTGAGAAATTTTTTTGCGTTGATGTATAATTTTACTGCTTATTTATTATTGTGTTGATTTTATTTACATAAGATATAATGTATATTAAATAGAAATAAAATTGAAAAGTTATTTAATTTTAAATGAAAGTTAATAAGACAGTTAAATATATTGTATGTGAGTTATAAATAAGACCAAGAGGATTATAATGTTACAACCATATGTACATATATATTACAAAAAGAGAAAAAGACAGTTGAATATGCTTGAATTATTGAAAATCCATTTCATTACCCCAAATTGATGAAATGACACTGTTTGTTTATCTTGGGAAAATGACAAAAAAAAAGTTGAAAATTGTGAAATTCCAGTTTAGGCAACTGAGACTTCAAAATCCCAGGAGAGAAAGTGATGCTTGATATAATATTTTACAAAAATATTTAAATGACTAAAATAGCTTTATTTTTAAAAAAATTATTAACAGGTTGTGAATTGGTAGTCACGAGCAGTGAATGGTAAATGACAAGAAATGTACCAGTAATGAGAAGTTATTTATTAGTGAGTTGCGAGCTGGTAATGACTATTGTTGAATACCAAATGATAAGAAATACACTAATAATGATGAGTTCAAAATAAGAACATTTCAGTCATTTAACTATATTTATAAAATATCAAATTAGGTACCATTTTCTTTTATGGGATTTTGAAATATTAGCTGCTTGAATTAAAAGTTCACAATTTTCAGCTTCTTTTTTTCCCCCCCTTTTTCCTATTTGCTTTTGATTTCAGCAACTAGGAAATAAAAGTGTGAAGGGATAATTAATCCGCAAGTCCTTATAGTTTCAACGAATTTTGAATTAGGTCCTTATATTTTTTTTTCTTTTTATCAGATCCTTATACTTTCACTTGTTTTTAATTAGGTCCTTGTATTTATTTTTCTTTTTATCAAATCCTTATAAGTTCATTTTATTTTTAATTAAGTCCCTGAATTTTTTATTCTTTATTTTATGAATTCTAATAGTATTATTATATAAACATAAAATAGTATATATTATTTAATATTAGTTTATAAACAATAATATTCTAAAGATATTGAATTATTATAATGATTTTAAATTTTTCAGCAAAAAAATTAATTGTTCTAAAAAATTTTCCTGAATTAATTAATTCTATTATTTTTTATTACATAATTATTAATTTAATTTACTTATTAATATTTTATATTTCATTATTAATCTATTTAATTAAGCTTATATTTAATTAATAAATAAAATTAAAACTACATGGACCTGATTAAAAATTTAATGAAATTATAAGAACTTAATTAAAAGAAAAATAAATACAAGGACCTAATTAAAAAAAGGTAAAAGTATAAGGATCTAATAAAAAGAAAAAAAAAACTATAGGGACCTGATTCAAAATTGGTTGAAACTATAAGGACTTACGGATTAATTAACCCAAGTGTGAATACTATATTATTGCTTTCATATATAAAATTATTTAATGGATTTACTAAAAAAATTCGAAGAGGTGGCTACTTATTTAATTTCAAGTGATTTTAGTCTTGTTATAATTATTGAATCATGAAGCTAGGAGGTCTGGATAATATACATTTTGATTTTAAAAGGGATTCTTGTCGATTTTCAAAATAATAGAGGCATCTCTATAACTTGGATTAAATAGACGAGATATCGGTGTATTTTACTCTATATGTATTAAAGCAAGAAAACGATCACGCATATATGAAAGTCTATTTCCAAACGTCTACGTCAACACTAAAAAATCAATTAGATGAGAATTTGTGCCGTCTGGAAAAAAACATAAATTAATTCTTAAAATAAATCCGGTTGCGTAAGTACCCACGCCATTCATTCTCGCGGAGGTTCTGAACTTATTGTTGGCTTTGAAGAGGAACCGATCATAGCGTGCCTAGAAAATGAAAGAAGAATCGAGCAAGAAGACCCCAATAATCGAAGCAGTAATCTTATCAGTGACAGGAGTAGCCGTTGTGGTACTGACTCAACTGCCTTACAGGAAGGTGGAAGGAAACCCAGTCCCAGCTATTCTATTCAACGACACCGATCCCTCCGTATTCCATGCTGTTATATTGTCTCTCAACTTCGGTTTCTTTGGTTCTTTCAATTCCCTTACACTTCGTCATGCATATCCCAGACTTGCCAACGCTTCCATGCTTCTCTCTCTTTTCTCCACCCTCTCCTGGGCTGCCATTCTCATCTACCTCACCTTTCCCATCTTCCTCACTTTTGCCAGACGCACCCTGATCTCTCTGTGTTTGCGTCTGAAGGAGATAGACATAACTTGAACGTGACTGAACGAATATCGATATTCCCGCACGAAACGGAATCACACACCTTCATCTATTTCTATGTATGTATATATATGTATATGCGTATGAGCGCACAGATCTATGTGCTCTAATTCCTGTAATATTAACAGGTTTGGTGATGTATATGTTTATGATGATTGCTGACAGGTGACTGCATAGTCAGGATTTCAGTAGGAAATTGTCATCTATATGACAAAACATACAAAGATGCACCCTTCATGACATGATGTCGTCTTTGATTGTTGTTGCTAATTGCTTTAGGTAGGTATGTTGTGATGCTTGGGGGCATCATGTTTAATTAGCCATGTATATCTCCTCTCTGCTCAAAAATATATATACTCCCAGATGTTAATTATGACTGTATATATGTTCATATATATATATATATATATATATATCTATCTCCGGTTATCTCTATTATTATCTCATAATATTTCCCACTCCATTATCTTACTTATATCCTACTATCATAGAATTTGCAGATTTTGTTAAAGTTGAAGATGTAAAGTTATGTATCACGTACTTGATATCTTGAAAATGAATAAGAAATATTTCTTTTCTCTCCAATTTTCTAATCATCTCTATGATTCTTTCATTCTCTTGTTGAATATTTTATCTTATGTTTTCTGTATTTTCAAAATACCAGAGACAATATATAAGAGGAGATGATTCCTCTCTTTTCCCTTCCCATTCTCTTCCCTCCTCTTCTTCTTTTGGAACCATTGCATAAACATTTGAATGGTTGATATTTTTAATCTTTTATAAAATTGTGGGATAAGATTGAGATTCATTTTGCCCTGAAAGTTTTCAGGGAGGAGCTGTGAGTAATTAGAAATTTTTTTAAAGGCAATGTTACTCTAAAAGTGCTACTTCGGTTCTAAATTTAAAATCTATTTTACGGTACAAATTACACTACAAAGTAAGTCTTATATTTAGGACTGGAGGAGTATTAAAATAGGAGCAATGCCGCCCTACTTTAATAGATCCAAACAGTTAGTTAAACAATTACGTTGACGTGTTATGAACAGGTGGATCTAGCTCAGTTCCCCCCCCCCCTCTCAGCTCAGATTTACAACTAGCCAAGAAATTTTTTTTTTTTTTAAAAAAAACGAGAATCCCTCGTCTTCTTCATCTGAGATTTTAAAAATTTCATGGATTTGTTATTAAAGCCAAAGCATTCTTCAACTGGAGAGAGAAAAATAAAACTCAAGTCCTGAATCTATCCTACAAATTGGAAAAAGCTCTCCGCTTCCATTTTGAGCATCATCAAAAGAAACAGATTGGCTTGATGCACAATTGAAGCACCCATACGCACAGAGACACATAAAGATGACGACATGTGGCCGAAAAACCGCTTATGCACTTCTCTGCAACTCTCCTTATGGATGCCCATATCATCACATATTTTTTCTCTTCTTCGTTTTACTTTTGATGCAAGTCAATACGGAGCCGACTTGGGGCAAGCAAGCCCTCCTTAGTTCCTCCCTTTGTCTGTCAGACCCCAAGCACGAACCGGGGCCAACGGAACTCTTTTGACTCAGCCTGCAACTGGTTTTGGGTCGAATGCTTTGCTTCTTATTGCTTCATCTTCACGGCATTGACCTTATGGGTGCCGATGGTTTAGAACTTTAGAACTATATAATATGATAAACATTTTTCCTGTTCACGTCACAAATTGATATTGTATTGTCCAGGAACCAATTCACTACATGGTTTTACTTGTTAAATGAAGGTCCAGGAGTGGCTTATAAATCCAAAAAGCCTTCTCCCACAGATGCCCACAGGACAAGGAGCATGAACTATGGATAAAGTACAGGCACATCAATATTGTCATTGCTGATATTTAATTTTGAAGAGGATTATCATCACGGAAGGGTTAAATAATCCAAGAAGCTTCCAGTTAGATTATAGTGGATGCAGGTCAAGTTTGACCTGGCCAATACAATCAGATTCAGGATTTGCCCAGCCCGACCTTTTGTCACCTTTTGTACTATTGCTTAAAGGGTCCTGGAGCATAACTATCCCACTCAGGAACTTCCCCATGGTTCCCTCTGATTTGAGGAGAGAATGGAGGCAGTGAGAAGTTTTACATATTGTCAAGGACCTAGGTCACCTAAAAGTTTAAGCCGTTATGAATTGGTCCAGGAATAGCTTTATACCTTTAATTATATACGCAATGCAGATTAGAAAACTTACCAAAATACCCAACTCATTCCATATCCAACGCGAAAATGAGCCCTTCAGTAGAGATAAGAAGCAACTACTTTTAACCCCTTTCATGGCATGCATAAGAAACCTAAGCTGATTTTCTGCATCTTCCAGATTAGCCCTGTGGATCTCAAGAGGAGCAACCTGGTTGATGTAATAGCACATAAGTAAATTTTTAGAGACATTTAAAAAAGAAAGAAAGAAAGAAAGAAAGAAAGTGCATCAAAATCTAGAGACGAAAATATTAAATCAATAAAAAAAGTTGCACAAGATGATGAAATATTAAGTAAATACCAGCCTCACCAAAACCCACACTTCCATCTTCAAGAAATAGAGATAAAATAAAGCCTCCTCTATAGAATTCTTTCTGATCGTGACCAAGAGATGTTGAAGTTGGAGGAGCACATAGTGCAATTCTCCCCCAAATAATTGAGACTGTCTAACTCAATGTACAATTAGATAACTAACCTATATTGGGAGTACTATTTTATGCACCTTGAAGTAAAAGAAATCATCTTTTATAGAGCTTTGGCTAAGAGAAGCTGAGAGTAATCTTATTGTGGTCTCTGCTGTCTGAAGGGCAAACTTTCTTAGAATACTGAATCAGGATGCAAAATACATTAGCAAAAAGGTAAGAATCCAAATAACTCATACTGCGTCTGAAGTAAGAATTGAAGGACTTAAACCTGTGAAAATTTGCGTTGCCATCAATGGAACTTTCAACTTCAATTAAACAGTCCTTGTCTTCCTTTTGTGCTGCAAATAAAGCATCCTCAAGTTCCATCTTTGTCTGGGCATCTGAGTGTTTTATGCTGCTAACACATTGATTTTATTTCAGAGGAGGACAGGACAAAAGGTACAGGGGGAAAAAAAATTATTCCAAGAAATGTCTAGATTCTTACCCATGAGCCAAGCATAACTTTCCAATTAAAATGTTATGAGAGGTGTAAAAATACTGATGCAATATACTGGGTTCAGTTTTATTTGCCAGAGGAAGAAGACCGAAAATTCCAAATCAAAACCTCTGGTTAAGCTGAAACAATACGATTACTACTTGATTCAAGTGTTCGGTAGTTTTATTCTTGTTAGCTTGTTTAGAGCATGAAACAAAAAGATAATCAACTTGCCTCCAATAACTATACATCTTGCTTGGTAGTTTAGACAGAGGAAGATGTCTACCTTCTTCTCACACTCTTATTTCTCTCTGAACTAATGCAGAATATCTCTGTCTTAAGAAAGTTATAGGATATACCATTTTCATAGGTTCATGGTTGTGTGAATTAAGATAATGCTTATCTCAGTGAAACACACAGCATTATCCAATCCAATTCAATTCAAACCCAATAAACTGAAAGATCCTCACTGATAACACTTACCTGTAGTAGGAGAGAGTTAATTAATCAGACTGTAAAGGTGTAATAGCACGGTCCAGTTCTTCTTGGATTCACACAGAGCATAATTAAGAGGATCTCTATCAATTCCAGACAAAGAATACCAGATCCAATTCCAAGTTACTTCTGCCAGGAGGAGCAGATTCAAACAAAGCATACCTCAAAGCTCAAGCTGAAGAATAGGATTTCTTGCACTGTGCACTACTTTGAGTTGCCTGATAAGCAGCATTGGAGTCGCCTGTGACCAATTTACTTCTAAATTGTGCTTCCCTCTGCTGAGTTCCTTCTAACCAAGCATTAAATTCAAGTTAATTCTACTAGGGGGAGGAGATCCAATTCCAGTTCCCATTACCGATGCCTCTGAATTGTGCTTCCCATTGCCGAGTGACGTGATTGGTCCCCCACAGCAGCCATAAATCCTGACATTTCACGCACACCCAACAATACGGTAAAACAGAGACGCAGCTCCGAGATTAGCTCTCACCAAGGAAAGGAGGGGTGCTCTCACTAGGGAGAAACCCAGGAGAGAAAAAGAACTCAAATTAATTCAGTAAGTTCCTATTTAACTTTACCTTTGGTTCCCACTTCACTGGACTTGTTTCCAAGAAGTATCATATTGAAAGTGATAAGTGCTAAGGAATGACATATTCGTATATTCTTATTTAATCCTATTGCCTCTCATAATTTCAATGACATCCAAAGAAAAGATCTTTGATCGAACTTCTTTCGGTCTCAATTACCCTCTACACAGTTCAGTGTGTATCAGTGTCTGCTTCACAATCATACCGCTGAGATGAAGCAAATTCCATTTGATTCTATATGTAAACGAACACCCTGCCCCAACAGTAATCTTAAGTAAAAAGAAGACGTGGGAAACAAAGAAAGGAGATCACGCCTACTTAATAAAACTGCGTAGCTATCTTCTGCCATCAACTCTAGATAATGCACTTTTCTACATTATAGCGAAATGACCATGGAAATGTAAAGCCAAGTGCATGCAGGTTCTCTTTATTTCCAAGCAATTGCAGATTACTTGATTAATTGCTTGACCTACTTTTCATCATTGCACAGGTTTGGTACAACATAGCTTCGAGAAATACAGTTAATTCTAGAGGTAGTACCCAACTGGAAGTGCATGGTGAGAGGATAATACAGAGAGATCCACCTCTGGAGTGGACACATGAATTGTAACCTTTTTGACGTTTTCCATGATGCCCTCCAACATAGGTTTTTGTATTAACACGATAGAAGCACAAAGTACATTACACAATATTCATAGTATATTAATAGGTACATCACACTTGCTATGTTTTAGTACATGAAACAGTAGACAATTGACTTGCCTCCGATAACTATACCGTGTGTGCTAATTGTGTGTGTGTGTGTGAGAGAGAGAGAGAGAGAGGAAGAACTATCTCTTTATCTCTCGCTCTTGTTGCACCGTTCAGTAATGAAGGAAGATGTCTTTCTTCGTTTTAAGATACCATCTTAATAGTTTCATGGTTGTGCAAAACCTAAATGGTGTGTTGGATACTTGTACTGGTATGAATTGACTTCACCTTTTGCTGCTGCAAGAATAGGTATTTCTGACCTTAGTCTGTGACATAGTGGTAAATGTGTTGTCGAGGTCTGGATCTTCATGCAGAAGTTTGGTGTGTCTTCTGCAGGACAGATGAACCTCCAAGCTGCATACAGAACTTTGTCAAGAATGAGACACTGACTTGTTTGAAATTTTGAAATATCTGAAGTAAATGGGGTTGGGAAAAGGATTAAACATGTATTTGGGAAAAATTATCTTAGGAAATGTCCAGCATGTATGAAAGGAAGCCAAAATAATAAGTACAGAAATAAATAAAAATTCATTTTACTTGAGTCTATACCACAGCAATGCAGAGATTGAGCGAAGTATCTGATGAAAGTAAATGGGGTTGGGAAAAGGATTAAACATGTATTTGGGAAAAATTATCTTAGGAAATGTTCAGCACTTATGAAAGGAAGCTAAAATAATAAGTACAGAAATAAACAGATGTTCATTTTACTTGAGTCTATACCACAGCGATGCAGAGATTGAGCAAAATATGTCTGATGAAATGTCTGGCAAAGTTTACATGACTTACTTGTATTGTGTTTCGTGTGATCCAAACGAGGTTGCTGGTGAATGGTCCATTTTCGGAAAGCATCAAGCCATAAATAGACATATTGCCTCTAAGGCAAATTCAAGAAAGACCCTCATTTGGGCTATTTCTTTGGCTCAGGAAGCCATTTCTATAGACCTATAGAGCCATAGACCATTTATAGTCAAGTCACAGACTCTAAAGACAGATGTATCTACGGCTAATTTCTTACCGCATAGACCAATGGGTATGATTCAGAGAAGGTGTTCAGGTGTAGAAATTCCAACGTACACTGAAAACTGTAGTGAATCTCACCACCTAAAACACCAAGTTTAGTGAGGTTTAATTTCTGGGTGTAGACGGTTTGTTATGTAAACACAGCCTAAGGTCTTACTCCTGGAGATGCCAGATAAAAGGTTGTTGTCAGAGAAACGATGATAGGGATATATATAGGTCCTGTTTGGTAAAATGAGGGATAGGAAGTATGATTGTAATTGAAAAAAATATTAAAAGAATCTTTAATATGAGTAATTATTTGTTAGGCAAACCCATGGAGGTAGAATTAAGAAATACCACTTCCCCCATATATTCCTCAATCCCATAAACATAGATTTGCCTAATGTAACAAATAATCTCTCATACTAAACATTTTTTTAATAAATATTTTTAATCCCAATCTCAATCCCTCTCCCTCATTTTCTATGCTTCATGCCAAACAATACCATGGTAGTTTGGGTTGACTGAGAAACGATGACAAAATATTTGGCAAGGTTTTCACCTATATCTTGTCCTGGTGGAATACCATTTCAAATAAATGATGATCCCTCACAGAAGTAGAAAGAACTGTTTGAGTTGGAGATAATAGTGTAGGGAAACACTAAGTTGTGAAGGGAAAATAAATGGTCCTAGGACGTGCCATCACATATAGAGATGGCTGTATAATGTAGAAGCCACAACATCTCATTTACCAAGTATAATGATACTTACCTGCCTAAAAATGGCAATAATCAACAGATCATTTTACTTAGTTCAGAGGTTTTGAAGCTCCTACATTCTCGGAGGCTTTAGGCAAGACAAGAGACGAGGAAGGCTAACATGGGGCAAGCCCCAGCTAGCCAACCTATGACCCTCATGGTCAAACTCCCTGAAAGAAAAGCTTTAATCATCACAAAACAACCCATTGTGAAACAGAAATGCCCAGCTCTCTCAACTAAAGCTGCAAGCCTTGGCTTAGATTGACTCAGAAAATTCCCAGAGAGAAAAGCTGCAAAGGCAACAACCATGACAGCTCCAAACAGAGGAAGTAAATCTTGGGATGATCCTGATGGAGGAGAAAACATAATCTGAAACAGAGTTAGAGCAACTTGAAAGGAGCTGAGGAATTGTTTCGAAAGGCTTGAGGAATTCTTAGAGTTAAATCTCGCTGCTTCTAGCTCAAAATAGCTCTCATTCACGTATAAAGGCAGGAGGGGGTCACTAGAATATTGGTTTTGCGATGATGAGAAGGATCTCATTCTAGTGATGTAGCTAGGTGAGAAGGGTGGCACATTAGTGAAGTAATTACCTTGGGATTGCGATCTTGATGGTGCCAGGATTGTCCAACACTTACGAAACATTCTACAAAAGGAAACAGAAGGCATGAAAAACAGAGAAAGGAGATCAAACTCACACCTGCTTAAAGCAACTCTGCTACTACCTTCTGGTTATCATTTTTAGTTAGTGCAGTTTTCTACTCTATAACGAGGATGATAAGGAAGGATCTAGATAAAGCCAAGCCAAGCCAAGCCAAGCCAATCGCACCAAACTTGCAGGAAAATTATTGTTCATCTGTATATTCTCATTCCACTCACCCCCTCACCCCCACAACCTCTCTCTTTCTCTGTGAACAGTGAACACTTTTGGCCCCACGTGACATGGCTTGACTTGCCGCGTTAAAGTAAATATACATACATGATTGTGAAATTGATGCAAATGTAATTGGCGCATACAGCGATTTATCTCACAGTTAATAATGCGTATTAAATAATAAATATTCAATAAATTATATGTACATTATTTAAATTTTATTAAAATTGTACAGATCTCTTTCCCTTTTTTTCCCCCCTAAAATGTATAGAAATGTTAGTTTCACATTAACTTTAATTTTATTAAAATAGTCACCATTGGCACACATTTATTTGTTAAAAAAATTGGATTGAAGTGTTAGAGTAGAATATTGTTTTTTCTTAAAAAGTTTGCGATATTCACTCTATTTTATTCCCTTGTTAAACAGAAATAATTCATAGTAATAAGTATACTGAAATCTTAAATAAATTAAAAATTATAATACACTAATTTTAAGACATATATATTGGATAACTTAATCTTGATTTCCAAGGCAACCATTATATCGACCTAAGTTGGTAATATCCAACGTCAAATACTATAAGATGCCATATTAAATTGTTCTAAGACACGCACACATAAAATTTTACCATTCATGTCATGTAATGAATGAGAAAGAAAGTGCTTGGAAATGTCCTTTTTGGCTATTAAGAATTAAAAATCGCGTTAAAAATCACGTTACCTTTCTGATGCAAAAAAAAAAAAGTGCTATCCAGTCCTTAATATAAAAATTGGTTTGATTTTTATTTTGATCTTAAATATAATATTTTAATTTATTTTCTCTCTTATATTTATCTATTTTTTAAAAGTAATTCTTAGTATGTGGGATTGGAGAATACCACTCCTCAATCCCACCTCTATGGGTTTGCCTAATCCCAAGTAACAAACAATTACTTATAATAAATACCATTTTAATGATTTTTCTTAATTGTAATTCCAATCTCAATTCTTCATTTTCAATACTTCATACCAAATGGAACCAATGTGTCCGGGGATCTAAACCTCTTCTATTAAAAATCATGTTACCTTTCTACTATCAAAGAAAATCTACTGCCTCCGATTTTTAATGTAAAAAATTGTTTGTTTTGTATTTTTTTTATGGAAATGTTTGTTTTGTATTTTGATTCTAAATATAAAACTTTAATATATTTTATTTTCATATTTATTCATTTTTAATATAAAAAATGTTTTTTTTATTTTGATTCTAAATATAAGACTTTAATATATTTTATTTTTTATATTTATTCTTTTTTCAAAATAATTCTTATAATAATGATATTTCTAACTAATATATTTAATCAATAAAGATATTTTAGGAAATACAATACTAATTTATTACAAGTAACTAATTTAACTAATTTTTTTAATCTATTCAAATTAGTTAACTAACTTTTATATTAAAGACCGAAAGTAGTATCATTTAATTAAGTAAGGACAATATCTAAGTCGTTTTTTATTTTATTTAACCATATCCATCATCCCCTTTAAACAACTAAAATTAGATCCCACATTCCTTTATTTCTCAGTACACCGTTGAGTTTAATGAATTAACCTTCATCATTATTAACTAAACCAATGGCTGAGGTTTTGTTTTTACTTAATTAAAAGGTGCATTTTTTTTTGTTGGTTGAGAGGCAGCATGTATTTTGGCAGCAGAGCTTCCAGAATGCTCTGTTTCTCCTATATATGCTTTTTCTTTATCAATCTCAGTGCTTATAAAGGACAGAGGAAAAAGAAAAGGGAAAGGCGGGGAATTGTTAAGACTTAGGCACCAAGTCGTAATTAACTACACTATCTATGGTCAACTCTCAAAGTCCCTAGAAAAAATTGCAAATAAAAAGCCTCAAATATATAAAATTGCAAAATGAACATTTAAATTAGTAAAATTGCTATCAAAAGATCGGATCTTAAATATGAACTATAAAATATTAAGAAAAAGCCAAAAATACCCTTCTGTTTGTCTTTTTTTTCTGTCTCATTTTCTCCTTCTCTTTCCTTCTTTCTGTACGACTCAGTAGCAAGCGCGATAGAAGCAAGTGCATTGCATTGAGGTGCTACCAGACTATTGCTATAATCAGTTCTGGGTTTCTTCATAAAGAAAAGAAAATAAAAGTAGTTTATATCAATTTCCTTCCGAGGGAGAGAAAGAAAAAAAAGGAAAAAAAAAATGAAAATGGATGGACGCGAATTGTGAAAAACTCTCGTTGGGCTACGTTTAGATTTGAGACCCACCTGTGTAGATAATATATTATGTTATAATAATTTATTTATAATTATAATATGATTCCTCAATTGAATCTAGCCTCAAGGGCAACACAAAAGGACAACTTAAGGGGCTAGTAAGTATGAATTGTGCATTTTTTATTTTGATTTTTGACATGGTTTAAATATAATTCGATGATTTGAATTTTATGAAGTTTAAGTTAATGTGAATAGCTTTTCAACATTTATTATTTTTTATACTAGACTTGTCATTAATAACTAAATTATAAAAATAATGCCAATTAATGCAAAACTTAAGCTAATGTGAATATCTTTTCAATATTTGTTATTTTCATACTAAACTTATCGTTTACAACTAAATTGTAAAAAAAAATGTTAATGTCTGCGAAAATTTAAGTTGTTGTGATAGTTACTCAACACTTGTTATTTTTTATATTAGATATGTCATTAGCAACTAAATTGTGAAAATAATGTAAACTTAAATGATTGTGAATAGCTATTCAACTCTTGTTATTTTTTATACTAAATTTATCATTGACAATTAAATTGTGAAGATAATGTTGATTTTTGCTAAAACCTAAGTTATTGTGAATAGATTTTTAACACTTATTATTTTCTATCCTAGACTTGTCATTCACAACTACATTGTCATTAAACAACTAAAATTAGATCCCACATTCCTTTGTTTCTCAATACACCGTTTAGTTTAATGAATTAACCTTCATCATTATTAACCAAACCAATGGCTGAGGTTTTGTTGTTAATTAATCAAACGGCGCATTTTCTTTGGTGGTAGAGAGGCAGCATGTATTTTGGTAGCAGAGCTTCAGAATCCACTGTTTCTCCTATATATGCTTTCTCTTTATCAATCTCACTGCTCGTAAAGGAAAGAGGAAAAAGAAAAAGGGAAAGGTGGGGCATTATTAAGACTTAGGCA